TGGGTCTGCCTTATTGTCTCCTCCCAGTTGGACAACCCCAGAGTAACTTCACAGGCAGGCATTCGTGTCAGATGTCTGCACCTCAACTAGCTCGCAAAGACCCAGTTAGAGGTCCAGTGTGTAATGTTTAGGAGGATCTTTTGGCAGAAATGGATTACAATATGCATAACTAAGTGTATATCACCTGAAAATAAGAATTTGTGTATTTGTTACCTTAGAATGACGCCGTGGGTTGCCTTCCATGGAATCCATTACATTGAACCGCCATGTTTCTACATCCCAGAAGGGAGAAACCAATCCAGTACAGATCACTACAGACTGGTTTGACTACTGTCCAATCCAGTTTAGAAAGCTACAATTGATTACATTTGATTACAGTTCACACAACTTTAAATTTAAGGAGAAAGTCATCCTCTACATCCTGACTGCTATGGTGACCAGAATAATAGGAGATAACACTGACTGATTTTTCTCACTTTCATGACTCAAGCAGTTACTGGCTCTGTACAGCAGCAAAATTCCGATCAGTTCACTGTTTGAGTGCAGCTCACTAACAGAAGCCTATTGATATTTTAGCAAACTTACATGATTTACACTACCAATACTGTATGTTTCAAGGATCACACAACAAGTTTCTGTCACAGTACTGTTGTGGCTTCCCCTTTTGCTAATCATTTAATTAATGCATATTATTGTGTTCAGACTAGTGCTCTCAGTCACTTAAACTGCCTTCAGATGATCAGAAATTTGCTCTTTGCTCACTGCAAGTTAGGGTGTAGATCATAGTGCAGACACTTGCAGATGCAATGGGCAGGTACAGTATCTCACAAAAGGGAGTACACCCCTCACATTTCTGCAAATATTTCATTATATCTTTTCATGGCACAACACTGAAGAAATGACACTTTTATACAATGTAAAGTAGTCAGTACAGTGGTAATTTACTGCCCGTCAAAAATAAGTCAACAACACAGCCATTAATGCGCTGGCAACAAAAGTGAGTACACTCCTAAGTGAAAATGTCAAAATGTTAAATTTGGTGTTATCGCTCCCACACTCTCTCATACTGGTCACTAGAAGTTCAACATGGAACCTCTGAGGATTGGAAAAAAATAATTGTTGCTCTAGATAAACATCGCCTAGGCTATAAGAAGATTGCCAACACCCTGAAACTGAGCTGCAGCATGGTGGCCAAGACCATACAGCGGTTTAACAGGACAGGTTCCACTCAGAACCTCTCTCGCCATGGTCGACCAAAGAAATGCACGTGCTCAGCATCATATCCAGATGTATAAGTGCTGCCAGCATTGCTGCAGAGGTTGAAGGGGTGGGGGGTCAGCCTGTCAGTGCTCAGACCATACTGCATCAAATTGGTCTGCATGGCTGTCGTCCCAGAAGGAAGCCTCTTCTAAAGATGATGCAAAAGAAAGCCCGTAAACAGTTTGCTGAAGACAAGCAGACTAAGGACATGGATTACTGGAACCATGTCCTGTGGTCTGATGAGACCAAGATAAACTTATTTGGTTCAGATGGTGTCAAGCGTGTGTGGCGGCAACCAGGTGAGGAGTACAAAGTCAAGTGTGTCTTGCCTACAGTCAAGCATGGTGGTGGGAGTGTCATGGTCTGGGGCTGCATGAGTGCTGCCGGCACTGGGGAGCTACAGTTCATTGAGGGAACCATGAATGCCAACATGTACTGTGACATACTGAAGCAGAGCATGATCCCCTCCCTTCGGAAACTGGGCCGCAGGGCAGTATTCCAACATGATAACGACCCCAAACACACCTCCAAGACGACCACTGCCTTGCTAAGAAGCTGAGGTAAGGTGAGGACTAGGCCAAGCATGATCTCAACCTAAATCCTATTGAGCATCTGTGGGGCATCTCAAACGGAGGTGGAGGAGCGCAAGGTCTCTAAATCCCCGCTCCGTGCATGTTTCATGGGAGGTGGAAGAGGATTCCATGGCAACCCTGAAGCTTCTGGTGAACTCCATGGCCCAAGATGTTAAGGCAAGTGCTGGAATAATTGGTGGCCACACAATCATGGACACCTTTGCCAAAGGGATGTATACTCACTTATGCCAGCGTTAGACATTAATGGCTATGTGTTGATTATTGAGGGAACGTAAATAAGTTAACAAGTGTACAAACAATAACGTACATTGTGCAGTGTCTTCTTCAGTGTTGTCCCATGAAAAGATATAATGAAATATTTGCAGAAATGTGAGGGGTGTACTCACTTTTGTGAATCTATCTATCTATCTATATATCTATATAGATATATATAGGGTGAACAGGTGTCCCACATTTACACTGGCTCTAGTTTTTAAAAGTCAAATCAGTGCCTGACAGATACTTTTCTAAAATCTGTTTTCATCCAGTGGTTAGTCGGGAGTCACGTCAAAGTCACAAGCTATGCAGATTTAGGTGAAATGTGATGGAGACTAACCACAAAGACTGGGAAACTACTTGCTACCACTAGCTGGATGAAAACAACACTTAACACCATGAGAACTGTGAAACTTCAGCTTCCTTTAATGCTTACTGTATTTAGGAGTTAGCTGGAGTTGCTTTCAAATAAAATAAATTCGTTAAATCCCTCACAACACCATTTGGTTTCTGTCCACCCTGTGTATAACAATAAACCAGCCTTAAAGCCCTGAATGTCCTCCAACCATAGCAACGCCTCTGATGGGAGCTGTGACTTTGTCTCCTGAACACCATGAATGAATGTTTCCTTTGGGGAGCCGCTTAATCCACCAAACCACGTGATCAATAACAACTGCAAGACTGATACAATAGCACCTTTAAAATACTGACACCACACACACACACACACACACACACACACACACACCACACACACACCACACACCCGACACACAGTCACATTGAACGAAGCTACTCGCTCTCTACCTGCATTAAGACTCCGACCAATAAACAGCTGAAACCCTTCACACCAGCTCGACCAGGAAGGTGTTAGAGAGTAAAGAGTTATAACCCACGCTGTTATCTAACCTGTCTGTTGTCCTGCACCTTCACGCCGTTAGCAGCATCCTTCAGGGCGCAGACATCTTGGGTTAGTGAGCCCGGTGTGTTTGCTGCTGTTAACCACCGTGCTGCCCCCTGTCGGTGTGGAGGAGCAGCTGCAGCCTCTGCGAGGAGGCCCTGAGCTAAAGGGCTTTGCTGCAGGGCACTTCAGCAGCTTATGTGGCTGTTGACACTCAACCTTGCTCTTATTTGTACACACATTCAGTTCGGGTCTCCACAGTGTGACAGTCAGCCACGTAGTTAATATAAGACCCATCTAATAGCTGTTTAAATGGCATCCCAGTTGTCATGGAGATGTATGTGTAAATATAAATGTTTAGCTTTCCCCCCCATTTAGTCCCCACGTTTCATTCCTCTGAGCACTATAAGGAGACGATCACATGTGCTTTCATCATCTGCTTGTTTCAATAATCTTAATTAACGAATGAGTGACATTTTCAAGACTTAATGTTTTTAATGGTTGTGCTACTCCATCAGATATTATTATTATAGATGTCATGAGTATTTCACACATTATGCAAATTAAACATCACACCAGCAGTTGGTCTCAGTTGAACATACTGTTGCTAGTAGCAACCGTTACTGGAACAGTATGCAGCTACAGGTTACACCCGCCATTTTGACAGATACGTAACCAAACACATTTTTTGTTTCACATATTTTTTTTAATGCGTTAAACTAGATTTCCTGCACTCAGTTTACAGTCAACCATGTTAGCTGTTACACTAGCAGTCTGAGGATGATGTGGCGGTAGCAGTAACTGCTGATATACTGTTGAGCTTTTCATGTGTACTCTTCTGTGTGTATGTTTTTTCACTGTGTACTACTTCCTATTGGGGCTTAATGTTCACTAGTGACAGCATACTTGGCTTCTTTCTGTCTTAACGGACCAATCTGACAGCTTTTTGTTGTTGTTTCCTTACTAATATATGTTTACAATACCTTTGGTCTGTTTTATTAACTATAAGAACTTCATGATTTTTTCTGTAGTCACTGATGTTGTTGCCCAGTACTGTTGTTTCACAATTGTTTCCAGTGAAAACATTCATTGTGTGTTTAGCAGTAAGAGCTCCATTTAGTAGCTATTCTGGGAATCTCGATCACATGACCTTAATCAGTCATAGATCTACAGTTCCCTGAAAACTGTACAGACAGACATCTTCTGATGAGGTCCATGTATGAAAGCTCCAGACAAGGTCCTAAATGGACCTTGTGGTGAGTTGTTTTTTTGTTCTTTAAACGGTGAAGAATGAACTTTAATCCTGAAATTATTATTTACGCACAGACGTCATTCTGAATCCACGCTAAGAAGTGATCACATCAGACTGATAAGATAAAATAAACCGGACTAGTTTCTTTCTGTAACTTAAAGTCAAATTTAAGTTCAGTGTGATGTTGTTACCTTGCTCTGGGGAACTTCCGTGAATAAAAAATGAATTCATGTTGTTACACTGCCAGATAATCTTCCCCCTGTGACCCGGACCAGAATAATCCTGTAATTAATTCTGTTACATTTCCATAATAAGAAAGTGAGCATTAGAGGCAGCATTTCCATTAATGGTTATGGAAACAAGGCCAACATTGTTGGCTATATATAAATTGTTTTTGAGCTGAGCTCAGATTTTCAAGCTGATGCAACAGTATGTGGTTCAAATCTGAAGAATGTTTGTATTAACTTAATCCAAAAGAAAAATGTGCCTGAATATTATAAAGATATTTCTCTATAGTTCTTTCATTTAAGTAATTATTTTACCACAGCTCAGACTTCACCTACAGGATTTCCCTCGGTGGATTAACTTCTTAAACTCATCTGAAACATCTTTAAAATATTGCTTTGAGCAAATAACCTGGCATCAGCAACTAATTAACATCTTATATTTACTGCTACATCTGTTACAAAGTATAAACTCATTTAAATACACAAAATCAGAAATATAACAGAAAAAAAAAACCTTTTTATTAAAATATTTTATTTGGAATTAATTCTAAGTTATTTACATAAACACTATTTCAAGTTTCCTTTGTGGTGTTGTCCACTTTGACAGATTTAGGTGAAAATAATTGTGAAATATTATATAAAACTTAACCAGCCAAATACCATATACCACCATACAAGTGCTCAAAGTGACACAAAAATGTTTAAGAAAATGTAAATTATTTTAAATTAAAGTGTAAAGGGTGAAACTCAAACTGTAAAAATGAAACATAATTTACTTTCTCCTCTGAGTTTAACAATAAAAGTAAAAAGCGGCTCCAGTAAAGAATGTTTCTGATTTCAGGTGTAATCATTAAAATATGCAGTTGAACTGTTCAAAGTAAATTCACAGTATGTTTGATATGTTCGGTCACACATATTTTAAGGCATTTTAAGATGTTTAATAAATAATCTGCTATTCTAAAATGTACCATTAAAAACACAGTCAGGTATTCACAGATCGGTTGCTGGAGTTGGTCACTTTCTGCAGGCCAGCTGCACTCACATTTAGGGAATGCTCATTGGGAAAAAATTCCCCCAACAGGAATGACAGGAGGCTCTGTTATGAAAGATAGGGCAAGAAAGTCAAAACAAGATTTGCATGCTATAATAAATAAAACATGAAAATTAGATGCAATAAACAAGCGATGGTGACAGAAAGTAAACACTGAGATACTTACATATACCAGCGTTTTGTTTTCTTCACTGTCCTGGAAAATATTAAAAACAGACTCCATGTCCGTCTTCTTCAGGACAAGATAGTTTGAATCTACAGAGAGAACATAAAAAAATACATTTTAGATGGATTATAGACTAAAAATAACTTCTACAAGTGCAGAGAGGTGTCACCTACATCTGGCATTGATGAGGTTGTGCGCTCTGTCCTTGGTGTCGTTCTTCTCCTCACTGGTGCGAGGAGGACGAGGAGGAGGAGGTGCTGCTGGTCGAAACTCTGGCCATTGTTTGTCACGCATAGTGTCGATATACGAGGCCATCTGCACTTCCGTTGGGTTCATCTTGTTCAGGAAAGTGTTCACTTTTCTGGAGAAAAATACAACACAACCAGAAGTCATTGACAGAGAAGAATTAAAGTACTCTGTAAAAAAAAATCTGGAATCTAATTGGACGTCACACCAAACTTACTTTTTCAAGATTGGCATAACAGGTTTCAAAATGGCGTCAAATATGTTTATGAGGATGGAGTTTCCTGTTAAGACAAACAGCGTGTTAGCTTATCTTCAAGAACATCCTAAAAAAAGGACCACATAAGTGTTTTTGCTTGTTTTAGCTTACTTGTCACCACCATTTTGTACTGGTTTATACAGCTTATCGGTCAATGAGAACGGCTGGGCTCTGATTCAAACAGTACATGTGCAAGCATAAAGCTAAAAAAGGCTACAAAGCTCTGCAGCTGCAGTGTTGCAGTGTGTTTCTCCTTGTCCAAAGTGTTGTCTGTTAAGATTGTAAAGCCCTCTCCCTCCAAGGCAAATTTTTTTGCTATATAGCTAAAATTGACATGACAAGATAATTCTCCATAATTTTAGCACCATTAGAGACCTGATCTGACATAACAGAGTCATTTTATTAAATGTCAGTATTACAAATATTGATTAATACAGGTTCAACAGGACTGCCAGTGATTTCCTCAAGTTTATGAGGCATTTAGATTTTTAAATGCTTTCCTCCAACCCTACCGAGTGAGACACTGGTTTTAGTTTATTTCAGTACAACGTGAAGCATTTATATGTGTATAGTTTGCTTGAGATAGCTAGTTAATCACAGTGAAGGTTATTTTTTGTCAAGGTTGTGTTATTGTTTCCTTACGAGGTTTCTTGGATGAGTGGTGAAACATTTTAGAAACCAAACATCAAATCCAGTTTCCTTTCCCTGAAGCATGTGAGATATCCTTCAACCTGTCATGGCAGCTACATAGACAGCTTCAGTGCACGAAGTTACCAAACTAACAAAATCCTTTTCATCACATCAATGTTTGCTTTTTGTCTCTCTTCCCCTTTGACAACAGGGCCTGTGAATACGATGGTGTTTGACTGTCAACTGTCCAACCCGGATTGTCAGAGCTCATCACAAGCACCTGAATGCACCACCCAAAAGACTCCTCGTAACAGCCCATACTTTCACCTTAAAAATACCACATGATGATTAATGGGCAGACTACATGTTCCATGCAAAGGATTAGCTTTGTCAGTATCAAGTCCCTACAGATTCATTTTTCTTAGAGCACTGAAATGAAATAAAACAACTGGCTGTCTAGACTTGAAATGATTGAATGCATTCATTAATCTAAAAAGCTGTAATATGTCTAAAAAAGTACACATGATTTCAAGTAAATAGACAACAACATACAAAAACACTGGTATGATCCTGAAGCTGTTAATGCTGTGAACAACAGTGTGAACTCTGAACGAACCGGATATTTCTTTCAGCAGATCAAATATGGCTTTGGATGCTTCCAGCTGCTCCCAGTTGACTTGGGTCTTCTGACACTGGGAGTCCTCCACCCTTGGCAAAGTGCCCTGGTCCTTCCCTTTGGCCTTGTTCGCTCCACCTGACATCTTGAAACATGTTTTCTCCTTTTTATTTGACCTCGCATTGAAATGAAGCCACGACAGGCCTTCCGCGCTCTCCCCCTGCACGCCTCCATTTTGGCTGCAGTGTGGCGTGGAGTCTGAATCGGGCGGGTCTTCATCACTGGTGGTTTTTGTGGAGGACAACGACTCTTGTGACCTGGATCGGGTCAGTCCTTTGAAAATCATTTTAAAGTGAGTGGTTAAGGGATTATCAGAGTCCTCAGTTTTGTCCTGAGAGCAGTTTTCATTTGCAGATTGTGGCTCGCTTTCAGTTTCTGCTTCCTTAGACGGTTCTGAAGGAGGATCGCATTGGGAGATAACAATAGCTGGGATTGTAGGACTGGGAACATCATTGGCCTTCCCAGTAGAGGCTTCAGATTTTTCTAAAGTCAGAGCTGTGGATTCTAGAAAAGATGACATTTTGATTTCTTTCGGGGTTTCTGTGTGAGGGCTCGAGTTCTGCAAAGGAAAACAAAACAATCAGGTTATGACAGTTGACCCTGAGACTACCAGCTAAACAAATCCATATACATCGGCTCAGGGAGACATTTATAAAAGCAGCACTACATTCCTCCTGTAGTGTGAGAAAATAACCCTGATGTCATGGTCAGCTTGAATCTTCACATTTAAGTCTGTGTTACAAACAGGTAATGCAGACTTTGAAAAATACGGGCATTTATCCTGCAGGTAGGATCTAATGAAAGACTATGAAGTTGCATTACGGGAAATGCATAGACCCATGGCTTTTGGCTCTCAGGATATCCTTGACCCTGGTTGCTTAGAGAACATGGGTCATATTTCCATAGTTTTGGTCATTCTTTTATTGGTTATGATTTTATGATTAAGTCATTTAGAGATCGGGGAACATTACTCCAACCAACAGGACAAGAAATATGAGGAGTCAGGCCATCAGACAGGTTGTAAACTAGCCAATACTATTTATGCCTCAATGCTGGTGACAGCCGTGGCCGGAGGCATTTTGTTTTCAGGTTGTCTGTCCCATTCCGTGAATGTGATATCTCATGAACAACTGGAGGGAACTTCATTACATCTAGCACAAACGTCAAGGTCACTGTGACCTCACAAAACTAGTTTTTTGGCCAGAACCCAAGAATTAATATCCTAATTATCACACAATTTCACACAAATGTCTGACAGGATAAAATGATGACATTTTATATCCAAAAAGTCAAAGATCAACATAACTGCAATATCATAATGTTCTGAAAAAACACTTTTCTGGGCATTATTCAGTACCATAACTCAGATAGAAGGGAAGACTGTGACCATATTTCAATTTCGTCAGATACTGAATTGATAACACTAATCTTTGGTGCCCACCTTGGTGATTGTAAAGATCTTCTGTGCTGACGCTTTGAAGATGTTTGTGAAGAGTCTATGTTTTTATATTTTGTAGCTTCTTTGCAGCAACGTCCATATTTGAAGCATTTAAAGCATTGTCTACTGTCTGTGTTTAGAATCAGCTTTATTAGCTGAGCACATCTACAAGGAATTTGACTCTGTTCTTTGTTTCTCTCAAAGAACTTACACACTCACACACACACACACAGCAGTATTAAATTCCTTCAAAGTTTTCACTACATACTATACATTATGAGCGTCTGGATATATATGGCTGTAAACTGCACCCTGACTGGCTGACTGAGGTATACACCCACAGGGCAGTAATTCTAGTTTTGGAGTGAAAACCAAAACCGAGTGATGTCTGTAATAATCCCTCACTGCAGAGGGACATGTGCATACAAACATGATAAGTAGGTCAAAGTTGAACCATGATCTGTGAAGTGTGAAGGAAGGATGTTTACACTGGACAGTTTCAGTAATAATTTTACCATTCGTCTTTGTTCTCTTACAATTAAGTGTGTTCGGCTGATCGGCTCACTGTGTTCTTACCCCATCAGAAAATGTTTTAACTTACTTTTACCAACAGGAATGATTAAAAATACAGAAGTCAAAATGAAAAGCACAGAAGTAACACAGAGGTTGTAATAAATCAGAATTATTCTTTAACACATCAACTTGATAAAAAACAGTTTGGTGGAACTTTACCTCTTCTTCCTCTTGGCCTGGAGTGAGGAAGTACGCCAAACCACTCAGAAGGCCCCACACGCCTCCATAATGTTCCTCCTCATTCAGCAGTTTGTCAAGAGGGCAGAGGAACTGAAAAACCGGTTGAGTGTGGCCAATCAGATCATCAGAGACTAATTCCTGGAAAAGAACAAAATGTTGACTCGTGACATTTTTCAAGTGTTTATCTGTCAATACAAGTTTTATCTGGCGTCTTTCACCTGAAGGAAGTGCTCCACTGATACTCTGGCCTCTTCTTTGGCCTCTTCTTTGACCTCATCGTTGACCTCCGACTGCTCTAGCACCAGGATCATAGAAAGGCTGGTCGAGTCCTAAAAAAGGGGCAAAAAGTAAAAACAAATGTGTTTTATGCAAGAAAGGTTCAAGATTTTATTTTACTCTATTATGGTTTACACTCGTTCTGTCATCGTCCTTTTCCTTCACACTTCAAAGCCTGTTCTCATTCCCAGGTCATCAAATACAGACATGAGCAGTGTTCAGTTCAATCTGCAACTTCACCTCTAGCATGCACCAAATACTACACACTGGTCCTTTAACAGTGCTTAGAAACCCTGCTGATTTTGACTTCTGACAATGGTTTTTAAACTGTATTCCATATGAGTGCAATTACATTTTGTGGTACACAAGTTGAATTCCAGGCTCGCGATGCTAAAGTTGTGGTTTGTTTTCAGAACAATGCTTCCCTCTGACTCGCACTGAACAGAAAACACTCTTTTCTCTCAAGTCAAAGCTCAACTCAACATTATAGTCTCCAGGACAGTTAAGATGGTTTTTACCTGCCATCTGTTGCGGAAGTAAACAACATCCATGTATGTTTTCCTGATGTCCCACTGTAGGTTCTCAGGGCTGTCTTTCTCCTCCAGGTGAAGAGTGAAGGTTAGCTCCTCATCCTCCCAGTCGGCCTATAACACAGTTAACTCCCCCTCAAACACCCTGCTCAAACATTAACATAACATCCAAGGACAAGCTTGTACAGAGCCTCAGCAGGCAGATAACAAGCCTCCAGGACATTCCACAGTGTCACTGATATTTATAACTCACATGAGGGATGCTGACAGCCCAGCGGCCAACACGCCACATCTCATATGACAGCTTGAATTCCATCATGTCCTCTTGGACACTTGTCAGGTAGTTCTCCAGATCACTGTCCTCCTGATGGTGTTTGGCCAGAAAAAAGCGACAATGAATCTGTCATGTTTCACAAATTGTCCTCTTCAGTTTGAAATATATTGAGTTATGTGAAGCAGACTCACCCTGTCAGAGTCCTGCTGGCTCTGAATGGAGCCCTCCTTGCTGCTGACATCTTCCTCGTTGGGCACATCTCTCTGGATCGACATGATCCTATTCATCAGCTCCTGCTCCATCTTCTTCATCTTCTTCTTCTTGGCCTTCTTGGTCTTCATCTTGTACACGAATTTGGACCATCCTTCTTTTAACTTGTTCCCTGAAAATAAAAAATAAAAAACATATTAAAAGTTAGAGAAAATTCCACAACTTATATCATCAGTATTTTACCTTTTACATCTCTTGTACCTGTTCAATTTATTGTGCACACCATAGCACTGAAGAAACGCCATGTCCCTTTCAAATATACTCAGCAATAAACGTGGAGTACTCAAGCCAATACAGTCAACCTTGACCTCGATCTCTTCCTTAAAAGGATGTTTGAGCTTCACTGTGCAGAATGATGGATGTGCAGAATTTGACACTAGAAGAATATTTTCACATTCATCTGCTGAA